ACGCTGCAACCTTCATTTCAGACTCAGTTCCACTGGCCGGGTGAGACTTGAGCCCCATCCCGACCCAGTCCCGTCCCCTCTCCCCGGGGCCGCCCCGCCTTATCGGCGGTGGGGCTTAACAAGCAGGTCTTATCGGTCCTGGGGAGACTTAGCCGCTAATTGCTGTGATTGCCCATGTCCTCTGGGGCGCTGCCGGCCTGCCAGGGGCGGGCTGCCTCACGTGTCAGCATGGCTACTGAGGGAGGCGCCGGGCTGTCCCTGGGTGGGGGCGTGTCACGGCGCGGTCAGGGCCCCCACTCACCGCCGCCCTGTGGGGCGTCACCATGCGTCACTCTCGTTGCCTGGGCACCGTGTTCAGCAAAGAGGCAGTAATTAAAATTACAGGCTTTTAATTACATCTCACTGCCTCTCTTTCATCCTCTCGTGCTCTGCCCGAGTGTCCCTCTCCCCTTCCGTTTTATCGTCCTTTATGTCCCCATAGTTTTTTTTTTTTCTTTCTTTCTTTTCGTCCTTTTCAAACTCCTTAGCTGTTATCCTCCATAGTCTCTCTCTTAGGGATTGATTGCTATTTTCTTTCTTTTAATTTCTAGTCTTCCCCTATTCACCTCACTTCCTCTCTCTCTGCTTCCCTGCTTTCCTTTCTGCCCTGATCATTGTTATCATCTATCATGCCGGCATCTCCACTGACTGCCCGCATTGTCATCTTGCCCCCTGCAGGTGGCGCACCCCCCAGGTTACCCCCTATTCACCTTGCTGTCCCGTCTGGCCATTGCGCTGCTGTCCCCGCTTCCACCCGCCCACAGCGTCAACCTGCTATGCAGCCTGTTGGGGGCGATGACGAGTGGAGCCCTCTGCTTTACCGTGTGCAGGTATGGGTATAGGGGTGTGGCTGTCTTGCTGTCAAATGGGCAGGTGGCACCTCGATCAGTAATCAACTACTGAAATCTAATTGGCCAAGATGTTTTGCTCAGAAAAATCAGTTCTGCTGGACCACTCCAGACATTTTCCAAAGGGGTATTTATCCACAAAACCACAATAGTATATTAGAGACTTTTCAGCTCATTAGCAGCTGTATTTGATTAGAACAATTGTGGAAAATTCCAACATGGATGCTTATGATGCTGGTTTTGATTCATTTAAGTAAAGCGAAGGCCCAGGAAAACTTTGGAAAAGCAAAAGAGGTTCTTGCCCTTAAGCTTATCACTGTGTAGTAAAGAGCTGGTTGCTGGTTAACAAGTTTTAGCTTTGCTCAGTATCTGGTCACCCCAGGTAACCAGGTGCCCTCCAGATCTGGCTGCAGCAGTGATCTCCTCTCTCACTCTGGCATCACAGCACATTCCACCATAAGAAGAAATGCCATGTTGGATTTTGCCACGGCCTGCTGGTGTCAGTGCCTGCTGCCTCTCTCTCTTTCTGTGGGCTGAGGGGGGACATCTAGGCTGGCGGGCGACGGTGCTGGGCATGGGTAAAAATTGATACAGTTATCTCCTAAGGCCATGATCCCCACCGCTGAACTCAATTTTCTCTTAATCCCCTTCGACCTGGAAGTTATTTATCCAGTTAACCTTCCTGCTCTATGGGGTTAAAGGTTATGGGTCGGCCAAGTGCAGGGGGAGGGACCCGTTCTGCTTGACATCTGCAGGACCTTGAACGTGTCTGTGAGTGAGCATGCTTAAATAAGCCTCGCTCAGTGAACTCGAGCGGACCAGGATGCAGTATTCATCACCATGCCTTTATGACAGCCAGAATGGATCAATGGAGATCAATACTGTGCTTTGTCTGATCAGGTCAGACCAGGTGATAATGTTGATACACCCACCTTCTGTGTTCTCGTGCTTAGAATGCAGTAATGACGCTTGAGCAAGAGCATCACAGTCGGCCTGCAGAACCGGCCATCCTGGATCAGGATTCAGTGGAAGGCTCTCCTTGATCCGTAATATTTGTTACCTTTTGCACATATTTTTACTGCATATTCCATACTTCACAGTTTTAATTGTGTGCATATCATCACACACGATCAATATGCAGTCTTAATGAAAATTTTTAATTTGTATTTCTATAAGTGTACTGTTGCTATTGCTGGACAGCAATCAGAGGTTGCTCGTCATTAAGTAACAGCTTAATTCTCAGTACAAAGGAAGAGATAAGCGACGTGGACACTCAGGATTTTTGTTCCATGACCTTTAAAAGACAAACAGCTCGCGTGATGGTCTCCTGTCATAGACTGGCTGAGGGAAACATGATCTCCTGTTCTGTATTCATGGAGAACGCCTCGTCTGCCCCGCCTAGCTAGACCCCCTACCCCCAGCTGTGTGTGTTAGTCCCCTCCCAATCCTGAATTAGTATGATGGCTAATCTGCTCCCTACCCTCTCCTGGGATTGGTGGTAGAAGATCACGGTCAGTCAACATATCGGAACTGACCCCAAGGTCAAATAGCACAGGGAGGGGCTTTGGAGTCTCTAGGCGTGTCCCAGAAGGACGATATTTCATTCCTGGGGGTTCATGCATGGCCCTCGAACCTCTGGTCTGCTCACTGCAGTGCAGGCTGTGATTACTCCTCCTTTCTTTTTCCTGCTCTTTTCTCTGATACGTATACATGCTGTCGCTGTATCCCAGCGATAGCAAAATTGGAACCCCAGAGGGTTCAGAAAAAGTGTTTTTTTTTTTATTTAAAAAAAAAAACATTTTAAATGGTTAATATTTCAAAATAGTGAAGCGCTGTTCCTTTAAAAGGGCCATAGTGTGCTAGTGAGGCTCTAGTGAACCTTCCCTGTGATACTGGTGAGATGCGGTTTGGGCCGGTGAGGGCAGGGCGGTACTGGATGGAATCGTGCACCCTGCTCCCATGGCAGCTGCCGCGGGCCTGTCCTGCTTCCTGCGAGCAAACGCCGCCTGGCGGGAAGCCGGGCCGAGGGGGTCAGGGGTCAGGGGCGCCCGGCAGGCCGGGACAGGCGATGGAGAGGAAGCGCTCGCCGCGGAGGCTGGACCGGGGCCCGGGCTACAGCCGGAGCGCCTGCCTCCCAGCACGGGCGAGCCGCTGGGCAACTGGGAGCGTGGGGGTGGGGGGCGGCCCATGCCTCTCTACGCTTCCGAGGTGCACTGGGATTCATCCCGCCGGCTTACGGGCCGGGATGGCCGCCGGATAGCAGCGGGTCGCTTTATCTGCTCTCTGTTGTCAGGGCTCGGTTGCTATTTTTGTCCAGGCCAGTTTTGCTCTGGTTGTTCAGGGTAAAACTTTCCTTTGAATAGGCATACATGCATACATAAGCAACAAAACAACAGATGTACAGCTGCCAACCAAGAAAGTTAGATGGACACCACTGGTCAGTGGCCTTTCTGTGACTCTTAAAGTACCAGCGCTGCGCATTATATCCCATTAAAGCTCCAGTGCAGAGCATAACATTGTGCCTCTCTCACTGTGTCGGCACTAGGTGCTTTCACACTGCCGGAACTTTTTTCTGGGACCAGGGACTATTGTCGTGTTCACACTGCAGGAACTCGGCCCGACTGTAGCTCCTTTGAGCCTGGAACCCCTTTTTTAGTACCTACTCCAGGCAAGTTACTTTTCGTTCAGACATAAATTACTGGGGAGGTGCCTACAGGACAGCTTGCTGATGGCTTGACCACAAGGACCTGTGCTAACAATGAAATTATGCAGAAGAGCAGAAAAATAGCAGAATGTAGCAGAGCAAAAATTGAGCAGATGGAATTATTTTTGTATCTCAGTTACATTTAATGCATCAATTAATACATTCTTTGCTTGCGTCTCCATATTTCTGCGTCGGGAAATTTGATCGCTAATATACTTTTGTCTAATATCGCTGGTGCCAAGTATGATACTTGCAGTGCTTATTAGCAGGATAATGTTACATCGTTTTTTATTCTGTGGAAAAGGAAAGATCGAGCAGCTGGCCTGATTTAATTGAAAACAATGAAGGTGGCCCGTTTTGATCGCAATTGTTCCCCTCCATAACTAACAAATAACTAACAAAACGACTTATTTATCCTCTGTTGTTTTGGGTGTGTAGTTTCATATGAAATTATGTGTGAAGTTTAACCTACAAACTTTTTGTGTCTCTCATGCTTTATCCGCAGTGACGTGAGCGGACGAGATCCCAGTTCCTTTTGTGTGGCATAAAAGTGGCCAGGAGCTACAAACGTACCAGGTTGAGATGGCCCAGAGACTAGTTTCCAAAACTTCGGTGTAAAATCACCTTCTGATTCATAATTTAACAGAATTTAGATTTCTTATATTGAAGCTGACATTGGGGCGCCTAAATGAAACTAAAGTTGACAGGAAAGTATTCAGAGGTCCCAGCAGAACTATCCGTGTGCTTTTGAGGGCCTCTGGGCTGCCGTTCCGAGGCCTCCGCTAGGCGTTCCTGTGAGGCTCACTGTACGAGGCCTGTCTGGCGGGGGCCACCCACTCTGGACCTCTGCATTTGTTGTGTTTGTAATCCGCAAATGGATCCAATTTTGGATATTTAAAAAAAAAAAGCCATTAGAGGAACACTCCCTCTGCCCACCTTTAGTGCCTCTCTGTGAAAGTGCAAAGCAAGTCACACACTGAGCTTTTAAGCTCAAGCTTAGATGTGATTTAGTCGCCCACCCCCCTGTTTTCAATCTTTGCTTAAAATTAAAAGTGAAGCGCAGAGTGCAGGTTTGTGTCATTTTCTGTGACCGTCCGGGCCCAGCCAGTTACCGCCGCTGAGTTGGCAGACACTGGACGGCAGCGCAGGGAGGGGGGCGTGAGGATGGGGGTGCGGTAGTTCCGGAACGGTGTCGCCCTCCCGCCACCTCCACCTTTTGGTTTTTGGCGTGCGGGCCTCAGGTGTTCCGGCCGTGCCCAGCGGGACCGCCGCGATGGCATACCATCCCCCAGCAGGGGATCCGCCCGCCATGCCTCTCCCCAGACTGCCACAGGCATCATGCGCCAACACTGACCAGTCCGCACGCCCCACGTGCTCGGCTCATTCTGGGCAACCGGGACCGGGTCCGGCCATCGGACAGCCGGGCTGGTCCTGCCACTTCTGTTCCTTTCTGCTCCTTATAGCCACTTTCTGTTCGGTGCCGCTTTCATCTCTGTCCCGTAAGGTCCCTTCCAAATGAGCTCTGGCCGGGACACGTCCCGTGACAACTGCGGGGGGAGCTCGTTAACAGATCCCTGCTCCAGTTCACACTGGACTGGTACCGGCATCAGACATGGGAGGCCAGGGGAGATGCCCTGTTCCGAGTCACGTTCGACCGTTGGGTCGTGCGATTACATAAATGGAGAAATGACACGTCGACCGGCACCTAAAAGGCGCTACCGTGCCAAACAGCGACGTGAGCGGACGAGCTGCTATGGGAGGGGACCGGCGCACCGGCGGCAAGCCAGCAGCCCGCCCCAGCCAGTGCAGCCTGGGCTCCTTATAAGGACTGCCACCATATGGTCCCCACGGGGGCCTCCCCCCCAAACCTTTCTCACCGTCGCCTTCAGATGGACTGCCTCAGAGCGGCTGTGGGGGGGACAGGTCTGCCGGAGGTCAGGGGCTGGTTTTTTTTTTTTTTGGTGGGGGGAGGGGAGAGGACCCCCGTTCCTAAGCAGCTCTCTCACACATGTGTCATCGTGCAGTAAGGCAGGAAGTGTTTGACGGAATTCCATGGGAATGGCTCCCGTCCGCTTTGGCTGCATCAGACCTCCTGCAGTTGGCTTGAGCTGAGGTGCAGACCGAACACAGGAGCTGCGATGCGATACGGTCGTTCACCACCTGGAGTGCCGTGGTGCACGTGACATGTGTCGAGTGCTGTGACCAGTACTTATCACTGACAGAATGGCATGTAGCAGGCGGTGGTCATGCTGGGATTACTTATGATGACAATGAACGTTATCTCAAATCTGGCCGAAGTTGAAAATGCTGGAAATGGGGCAGTGGCTGTGTGAACATGAGGGGCAATCTAAGCCAGTCCTGATCCTGGTCTGTTTTGATGGAAAGTCAGGCGTTCATGTACTGTGAGCCTCATGGGACCCCAGTTTACCTCTACTCTGGTTGGGTTCTCAGGCTGCTATGCTTGGAGCTCAGTATGCATATATAACATCATCACTAGAGAACCCCACTTCTCCTGAATCAGCGTGTTTGGAAGCTGCAGTTCTGCAATAAATCACGGCTTACATGTACATGAATAAAAGATAAATATTTGTTGTGGGACACTGAAAGAGTGGCTTATTTTTAAAAGTCTTGAAAGCACTACAAGTTGGTGTTTTGGAGAGGTTTGCGTCTGTCGCATATGCCTTAGTGCGGCGTGTGTTTGAGGAAAATGTCAACAGTGGGTCAATATCAGCATTTTATCTATGTTCCTTTGGACGGCTTATTCTATCAAGTAAGGCCGCAGCTGAGTATGTGATAGCAAGCGCTGAGCAAATCTCCAGATCTGTGGTTTATACCAGGACCTAGAATTACGGTACATCCTTCTTCAAACACTTAGCCGTAGGCAGAATAAACCCCATTTGGGTCATATGGGTGACAGAGGCCGATCCAGTCTTTAGTTTTAATGCGTTTTCATGCTCTGTGATTTTGCATTCAGAGAGCCGTCCGCATGATCACAACCGTGGGGCAGACTACGGTAAGGGAGACACGAGCTACCATTATTACCGTGCCAAATAAAGAGGGCTTATTGAAAGCCACCCCCCCCACACCCAATTGAGTCTGTGGCGGTCCCGTGTTCTCCTGTTACGGCATGACCAATAGTGGCCCCAGGACCTGTTCTACAATGCCGTGTAACAGATGTTTAATGAAGATGTTATTTCCTCATTACTGGGGGGGGAGGGGGAGTGAGGGTTTGGGGTTGGGGTGGGTGCCGCGGCCTACCGTACCAGTTAATATTCTAATATTCTTTTTACGCCCAAAGGCCTGAGATTGTCTCTGCACCGGCCATGAATATTACATCCCTCACTCACCACAGAGACTCTTAATGAGAGTCACCAGTCAAGCAAAGGATCAGGCCTGGCAATTACAATCTGCCCGGAATGACTTAATGGAGTGTATAGAACGACCCTGTATATCAGCGCTGCCTAATGACTTTGTCTGTGTGCGGGCAAAATTAGAAATAGTAATAACAGCCCTCGGAGTCGGGGGGTAAACACCGTTTTATTTTGCGAGGCGCAGATTAAGACGCCATTCTGGTGGAAATTGTCGTGTCAGTGGCCGCATTGTTTGAGCTGCGGGAGGATTGGGATGATTAATTTTGCAGGCGCTCCGAATGCTGCCCAGAGCAAAGCGCCGTCGCTGGGTTTAATTCACCGGCCGCCAGCTGCTCTCCCTTCGCTTCACCTTATCACTTTAGCGCCGCCGGCTAACTTTAAGAAAAAAATGTCCGCGGCGTAAATTTGAGGCCCACTGGACCATCAGTCCCGCAAAGAGTTGTGGGAAAACCAGAACGACACGGAAGCCTGAGACGCTCCAGCTTATCCACGTACTCATCCTGCGTGAAGCTGGTGCTGGCTCTGCCTCCCTGGAGTCAGAGTCGGAGTCCTGACTGAAAATTTTCAGATGAAATGGTTGGTAGCTGCATTCAGGCCATAGCTAATACTATTGCATTCTGGGATCTCTGAAATTCCCAGAATGCATTAGCGGAACCCAGTCAAAAATGGGGGCAAACCTAGAGGCTTGTTGATAAATAGCTTCATAGCATTTATAAGGGCAGTTATTATTTATGAATGAGCGGTGACATGTGTGCACACACGTGCACCAGAGGGACCTGCTCTCACGCATTCTCAGCATGCTGTGCTGGCTGACCCTATGAGGAATTTAATGGTCCTTTATATGCATCTATACTGTGAAGGCCATCCCAGCGGGCATCCTGGAGCCCATTCTCCATTCGAGTGGAATTCCTCCTCAGGGCTCGACATGGCTGGATCAGAGGCAAAGGAGCCCGGTCCAGAACCGGAGCCGAGTCTGGTGCCGGCTCTGCCGGGATAGTTTCCAGGGGAACTGGGATGGGATGGGATGGGATGGCTCCCCGTGGACCCATGGCGACGGGGCGCGGCGCCACGGTTGCCTTTGTCATGTCCAGGAGCCCGCTTTGCCCTCCCCAACCCACTTCCTTGGCGGTTCCAGGGGAAAGCCAGCTGGAAGTGCCTCGCGGCCCATTGCTCTCGACAAAACTCTGCTCTTAAGGAATGCCAGCTTCTTTCCAGCAGCCTTCTCCCTAACGTCCCCCCAGCCTTGGGGCTGGTTCTCAGGGGCTGGTTCTTGGGGCTGGTTCTCAGGGGCTGGTTCTTGGGGCTGGTTCTCAGGGGCTGGTTCTTGGGGCTGGTTCTCAGGACTGCCCCTCTCTCAGGTGTCACAGCATTTGCCTGGCCAAGCTAGCCTGTGGCATGGAGATTATGTGAGGGCCAATGTGGACTTGTTAATGGAGAACAGGGCTCTGTGTTTGTCTGTGTCTGTGTGAGTTAAGGTTGCTATTGCTGGGATAGGGGTATTCCTCATAGAAATGAATGGACGGTCCCGTGTTTGTGTGTGTGTGTGTGTGTGTTACAGTGTGCTGGATAGGAAAAGAGCAAGAGGTGTTGACAGGTCCACCCTGGCCACCATCCTCAGTAGTAGACAGCATTATTGCCAGGTCAGGACCTCCCAAGCCCCTGACAGCCCCTGAAGTGGGGTGCATCATGGAATTATGGACATAGGGTTCTGCTGGGTGTCTGTCTGGACCTTTTCTCATCGACTCCCTCACTCACATGTATTCCCTAGGCCATGGTAAAGGTCACACTACGCTCTCTGGTAAAGATCAGGCTGTTTTCACTGGTGATGACTACACCACGTTCTCTGAAGAAGACCAGGCTGCATTCACTGGTAAAGACCACGCCACGTTCACTAGTAAAGTCCAGGCATCTTTCACTTGTGAAGACCACACCGTGATCACTGAGCCCCCAACATGTCTGATGCAAACGCAGGCTGCGACCCGGTTGCCTTTTGTGTCAGCATGTGTTAATTCCCGTCAAATCAGTTTGCCAAAAACCTAATATGTGATGTCATCCAGTGTGCAGCTTCTGGCCCCCTGTAATATGACGGTGCAATTTGGCGGGAAGCAGCTCCAGCTGCTGCCCTAGTTGGTTCCGTTTATTACCGCGGCCTGAGGCTGGGCCCCCGGATGGAGCAGCTGAGCAGGACCCAGGTGGTCTGACGGGGAGCGACGGGCCATCAGCCCCAGCAGGGCGGCAGCAGACTGACAGAGCAGAGGAAAGAGATGTCAGCCACTTTGCAGGGAATAAAGAACTCAAACGGAGAGCACGAGCAGCCTCCCCCCCCCCCCCCGGCCACTGAGCTTGTCAGGCGCTGCTATTGAAGCGAGCCAGGCTGGTATAAGAACAGTCCTCACAGGACTGGCACCCCCGACATCCACACACATGCACCCCCTTTCCCTACAGCTTTCCAATATCAGCCCCCCTGCTAAGAGTATGTGCTCTGGGTTAATTACGGCATGGGGGGGGTAGAATTGAGGGTGCGGGGGGTCCTTACACCTCCGTGGAGGAAACCCCCCCCCACTCCCGCTGCACCCCTTTCCTGAACTGACAGCTAATTCCTTCAGCGCCAGCACCACCACCACAACCAGCCCTCCCCCCCCCTCCCGCACATGAGACGCAGGAGGAGAAGGCAGGAAGGAGTCAAACAGGGGGGAGAGAAAAGGGGGAAAAAAACCAGAAGTAGTCAGCGAGAGTGAGGTTTTTTTCTTCCTCTCCCTCCTTCTTTCCTGATTTACTGCGCTTTCCTCAGAAAGCTCCATTGTTCCCTTGCCTAAGTCTCATCAGGCCTTTTGTGGCTGACTATCACAGCGGCAGGCAGAGAGCTGGAAATGTATAAATGGTATCATGCCTGTGATTAATGGCGGTGCTTATGAGTCAGGTCTGATAACAGGCCTGCTCTCTACTCAATTTCAGATACCGTTAATGGAATCTGTCTTCTGCGATTGTAATGTGAGAGCGCCTAATTTGCCATGGAGCTTGAAGCTGTCACCGGCGAGGGATTGTGGGGTCATAAGGGACCTGGCAGCCGCTTGGCCTGCAGCTTGTATCTGCTGCTCTGAATAGAGCAGCTCTCTGCCTGTCAGTTAGCTGATAGGCTGATGAGGACTCTAAGCCACTGCGCACAATGGAGGAAGGGCCATACTGCCTGACTTCCTTAATTGTCAAGCCTGCTCAAATTTCAGAGCCAGCATACTGGGGACTGGGCTTTTTTTTCCCCCCTCAACTTTTTTTTTTCTTTATTTCATCCTCCATCCTCACTTTCTACCCCCCGCCCCCCCATCCAGCACCTCGTTCCCTGCACCCTTTTTCCCTTTTCTTCCCCTCTCCTGCCTCTCATATATCGCCTCTCTCTCTCTCCCTCCCTCCCTCCGTGTCTCTTTCTGTTTCTCTGTAATAAGTGGTGGGTCTTAGCGTATAACAGATTATCCCAAGTTTGCCTCAATTACCGCTAAAGAGACGGGAGAGAGAGGGGCATGGGGGGGCTTTTGTGGAATCATTTAAATTGCTAAAGATATCTCCCGTGGTGGCTATCACTGGCAGGCAGTACTGGAGTGTTTGGCTGCCCGAGGGAGAGGGGGATCATCGGAGAGCATCTCTGGCCAGCAGCCGCGGACTGCCAGAATGTTCGTCATTTTTGGATGATAATTGCAATAATGACGGCTATGCCTGCTGTTTCAATATTACTGCCCTGGTCTAATTTAGCTGGTTTTGTTAGCTCAGACGTCACTAATAATATGTTTTTTTAATCGCTGCTGTGCCCCTATTCAGATAAAAAAATTAAGTTGCTCTCCTTTGCCTGATTGCACCTGTACCTCTCGCCATCCCAGGCTGGTCGGCACAGGGCCGGGTGCAGTGCTGGCTGGGGGAGCGTTTGCCGTGTCCCGGCTGACCTGGCAGTGGTCAGTGGTGGCGGAGGTCTTCTCCCTCAACAATCTCTTCGTGGGGCTGATCTTCGCGCTGGCCGCCTGTTTCCACTGCGCCAAGAGTGCCAGTGACAGGAGCAAGGTAATGGGCCCAACGCTATCGACAACATGCCTAGGCTGGGTAGAGCTTACGGTACGAAAAACCGGTGCAGGGATTGGCACCAATAGCAAGGGTCCCCTCTTAAGAAGCTTTAAGACCCATAGGCACAGAGACTGAAAAACCTGACAGCACAGAGACGGCGGGGTCGTTCCCGAAATTGGCACCGTTTTTAATAACGCATACAAACTTAACGTCGCTCGGAAGCGCCTCGGCGCGCATCGCGTGGAAAGTCTGAAACTGTTCGTGACATCACCGCAGGTGAAGAAAGGCGGTGGAGATTAACATTAGCCAGCGAAGAGAGTTTAATCCTAGGAGTAATTTTAGTCTGAATTATTCAGAGAGGCTGCTTAAGCATGTTGCGCCTTGGCGCAGCGCCGTGACTAATCGAGGGAGATTTCCCTCCGTCCGGCCCGTAAAGTTTACATGCGGTGCTTTGACAGGAGCCCCGGAAATTCAACTCACACCAGTTTGCTTTTTGACGTGTAAGAAATGGGAGTTTGATTAAGTTCTGTGCCTTAGAAACATGATCACGCTTAGAAGTGCTCTGAATGCACAGGTTTTTTATTATTTTTTTTTTTATCAAAGATTTTACGATCTGGCCGACTTACTGGAGATGGGAAAATGCAGGGAAGATCTGAATTTAAAGCTCTGATAGAGCTGCATAACCTTGAACAGTACGAATAAAAACAGATGAGGCAACCAGTGATGGATAGAATGAATGAAAGGCTGTTTCAGAATGCAGAAAAGCCATTCCAAGCATGAATTAAATGGAAAGGAAAAACCTGCACTTTAAAAAGCATAAATGCATTTAGGGATCCATTTGGAATACGGTAATTATTTAAAGATAAAAGAAAGATAATTAACTTAGTTAAGTGTTAATGAGGGCCCTTCATGACCTTCCCTTGCTGTGCCTGACATTTTATAGATGAGACTTAAAATGACAGCAGGCAAATGACCAGGCCATTTAAGATCAAGGGGAGGCATGATGCTTATCTGCCTTGACATACAGTCATGTGGGAAAAATATATAGACCCCCCCCGGAAGGTTCAGTCAGTGTATTGAGACACTTTGGATGTCTCAGGTGACCCCCCCTTAGACAAATGACAATGGAAAATGCCATTCAGTTGTTCAGTTTAGTGACATGCCAATCTGTACATATGCAACACAATATTAAATATCGTTTAAAAAGGAAGGCATGAATTGTTGATTGAAATTCTCCCGCTTTTCTCCAGCCATGCTCTCTTTAGATATTTTTGCTATACATTAGTTGTAAGTTGTTAGTTACTCATCAGTTACTGCTCATCATCAAATGAGTGGTTGGCTAGTTATAGCAGTTGAGTGTATCAGTTATCTGCACAATTCTTCCGGCACTTCCTGGATAAAGGTACACTGGGGTTAAGTGGTGGTGCAGTCATGAAGCTATTGAGTGCATGTAACACTGTTCTTGCCCCTTCAGTTTGCCCACTGGGGGGCGTTGTGTTGTAGCCTCGGCTTATGTAACCAGCACACTTTGATACTCTACTTGCTGGTCATCATTCCATGGGTCCTGCTGCGGCTGCATGCCTTCAAGGTGAGAGATGTCTGGGTGTTTATTGCTGGTCGCTCTCTCTCTCTCTGTGATGCATTGTGACCTGATCTGCGCTGCCCCTTACCTGTCAGGAGCTGTCACTGCGCCTTCTAGGAGCCCTGGGCCTGTGCTTTCTCACCGGCTTCCTGCCCTACCTGTACCTTCCCGTCTCCTCAGCCTTAAATACGGCCCGCTGGAGCTGGGGCGACCAGACGTCGCTCTGGGGCCTGCTCACTCACCTGCTGAGGGCGGAGTACGGCACGTTCAGCCTGGTACTGTCCCTCTGCCTCTAAACACCCTCGCACACCCTTTGCGGCTTTGTTACTGCAGACGGGTTGTGTATAAAGTTAATTCATGTAGTTATGTGTTATTTTCAAGAAAAAAATCATACACTCTAAGAAACTATTTGTTAAAGCTGTAAGCCACGAAGCAGGTAAAAATAGGCGTTACCTGAGAGTACTGAGTCTCCAGCTGAAAGGTCATTATTGCACATCCTCATGGGTCCATCGCAAGGCTCTGCTGCCCATTTAGCACACAGTAATCGGGCTGCATTTCTCCTTTAATCAGCTCTGCCAGGGTTGTGTTGTGTTAACTCCTAGCAGTCTGGCCTGGCTGTGCCATGGGCTATGAGTTATGGGAGGGACAGGATTAAAGTGTAATGGATCTGTGTGTGAGTCCTATCTCTCTCTCATTCCCTCTGTCATGTGCCTCTCTCTGATTGTATGATAGACTTTCTGTGATTGCATTTGAGTCCCATCTCTCTCGCTTTCTCAGTGACTCACCTTTCTTTCAAGTTATATACTTTTCTACAGTTGTATGAGACCTGGTTTGTTCTGCTGTACAATTGATCTCACTCGCTCTGATTGGTTGATGGGCCCCTCCCTTTTTGCCTGTGTGACTTACATCTCTTTCTCTGCTATGTGATCGATCTCTCTGTCACTGATTGGTTGATCATCTCGTCTCTTTCTTGCTGTATGACTGCCGTTTCCCTGTTTAATTATGTAATTTCAGGCTAAAACTGAGAGTGCTGGAGACCTTATCAGGATACTTCAGTGAGTATGCGCTGGTTTTTTCTTAATAATAAGTTGTGTAAACATTTTGTTTTATTTGGCACTTAAGATTAATGCATGTTAATCAAATTCCATGCTCACAATAAGGTTAAAAATCAAAATGAAGACGTGAAGGTGATTTCCTTTTTAAAGAGCGTATCGATGTTTTGTTCCTGGGTTTTTGATGTTGCTTTTGTATGCCGGTATGATCTGCTGGCTGGTGGGGAAGTCGGATTGCAGGCCATCAGAGACGGGAGATCCCTGTCCTGTAAGGGAGCCTTTCCTCTCATGTCTGTTCAGCTCCCCATCACAGGAAACCTCGGACCATTTACGGGACAAAATCACCATGCTGTGTTTTTCCAGCAGTTTGAAATGATCACACGACTGTGTTGTTAAAGCGTGACAGGCAGTGATGACAGAGTCTGCAATACTGCTATGAGATTGCGTCCCCAACCCCCCCCCCCCACACACACACACACACACACACACATACACATATATCCCGGTGGCAGCATTTTCTCTGGCTGATGGACAGAATAACCCCTAGCCTCCCCCCCCCACACCATCACCACCACCATTGACACACCTTAACTTCAAGGGAGAGGGTGGGACGTGGTGGGAAGCGATAGACATTTCGCTACACATGGCGATTGGGGAGAGACGAGCTGACACAAGCTCACAGACGGCGGTTTGGCGCACGGCCCGCGGCAGCCTGTTGGGTTTGAGCGGGTGGACAGGGAGGATGGCGTTTGGGGGTGGGCCTTGAGCCAGCGACAGCCACACACACCCACAGCCCATTGGGGCCTTCTCTGCGATTGTGTCCCAGGGCCCAGCTGGAGCACTGTATGCTTGACCTCTCCTTGCCCATCTTGCTTCTGGCTGGAGCGGGCCTGCTTCTCTCATCCCTGGACAGGTAAGATGTTCACCTGCCCCGCCCGATTCCCCGGCACGCACCCAGCGCCATCTTGCCGCGGCATGGAGCCTGACGCTGAGCAGAGGCAGCTGGCAAACAGCTCAGAGCCCAAGGGATTCCATGAAGCCTTGGGTGTCTGTGTTTTGGCCCTGAACTGGCAGAGCAGGGCCAAGCTGAAAGAGGCACGAAGGGCAAGGGGGCAAAAAAAATTTAACCCATGATTCAACTGAATGCTTTTACTGGAGTTGTTTAGTTTAAACACCATTGGGGTTTAAGTAGAGGAGTGCAGAATGTGGGCGTTCCCTGGGGTACTGGCCCATGTCACCCTGTCTCCTTAGCCTCCTTAGCCTGCATGCCCATGAAGGAGGCAGTCAGAACCACGTTACTCTGTGTGGATTTTAGCGAGTTCTGAGGGTCTGGCCCTTTATTGAGATAGCAGACACTGAAGTGCGGTGTGCCGCTGCTTCTCCCCGGGGGGGGCTCGCATACCGAGCCCGCGCATGTGACGTCACGCCGCCTGTGCAGCCGCCCCGCGTAGACGGCCGGGTCAGCCGAGCCGATTAGACGCCCAAGAGCGTCGCGTCCCCGCAGCTCCTATCGTCCTCGTCATCTCCGGAGAGTGAGGGGCTGGCGCGTGCCGTCTGCCTGACGCTCCAGCTACCGGTGTGGACGTTTCAGTGCAGTCATTTGTTTCCTGATAATGTCAAGTAGCTGGATAATTATAAAAGGCTAAGCCCACCTCCCTTGTTAAGTGGCCATTTCAGATTACACATGCAGTAATTAAAGTGCTATGTTGCTGTTAGCTGTAGGGCATGTATGTGATTTGACTGCAATGCCCTGTGCCCTCCTACAGGAGGCAGTGCATCCTACCCTGGCTGCTGGCTGCCATGGCATCACTGTACTCACTGTTCTTCTCCTGGAGGGCCAACCTTGACATCAGCAAACCTCTGCTTCTGGGAGTGGTGGGTACTGATCCCTTTCGGCATCCATATTGATGGGTCTTGAGGGTCCATATATGTGGCTGGATAAGTAATTAGCAGCCAAATTAATGGCGTGGCTAAATTTGGCGTCTTAATGCAATTTGCATGACATTGGTTGTGGTGGCAAGCTGCTTTAAATACCGTAAGGCACTGGTGTAGGGTGACGTTCTGCCCCGCAATGATCCCTGCCTTTTCTCGTCTTCCGGCAAACCCTGCTGGCAGATTGGGTGATTGAATGTCTTTCAGTTCTGCACAAATCCTTAATTAGTAAATTTGATTAATTATTAATTTTAATTAGTTCTCTTGTCAAAAGTATTTAGTGACCGACAATTTGGAGAGACCCATGGAATATCCAGGATTGCAAGTGATAACTTAGACTCCTGGGTTCTATATTGAATACTCGTGAGTTAGCACATTTATAACTCATACACAAATAATATATCATGCAATGAAACTAAATAGCGCTAAATAAATTGTGGTCAGTGGCCTTTGGCTGTGTCTCTTTCACATTCATTCTCGTCTCAGTTACATGAGGCTTATGGCTTGGCTGAGTAGTCCCCCCCCCCGGCAGACGTGGCTATAATGGCTTAATCTTCGGACTTCACAGGTTGTGCCATTTTACCGCCTTTCCAAGGTAATTAAACTGTTTAAAGACGAGAAACGGGAGCCGTTGGTGCGCACCGTCGCCCGGCCCATCGGCCCATGGCTGCCCGCGAGCTGGTACTGGACCTGCCTGGCTGCTCACGAATTACGTTGCTCTCCTTTAATTATTTCTGAGTCAGCATGGCCTTCATTAGACGGCACTCTAGCCATCTTACTTGGGACACATTGGGTGATAGATATCAGGAGCTCTTCGCTTTGGATGGAAGTCGACGTCGAGGCGTGTTTCCGGGGGACTGTGATGTAAGCGCTAATCCGAGCGGCGTATCGACGGCAATGCTGGCATGCGGCTGCGCTGTGCTGACGGCCCGCCTGCGCAGGTGGAGCGCTTCTGGCTGCAGTGCGACGTGGCGCTGTGCGTGCTGGCTGGCCTGGGCCTGGATGCGCTGCGGGCGGCGCTGGAGCGGTGGCTGGCCCGGCGGTGGCTGTGGACGGCCTGCGGCTGGGCCTTCAGCGTGGGGCTGCTGGCGCACATGGCGCGCTCCAACTACAGGTGAGCGGCGCTTCGAGGGCTGGAAGCCCAGGTTGGGGCGCTGAGTGGGGCGGCCATGATTCAGCTAATTTGGCAAAGAGGAACGGAAACCGTTCCGCTCAGGATCTAAAGATGCAAGTAGGCGTGGTGTCACCCAGGGTGCCCCCATCTGGCTGCCTCCCCCACATCATGCCCATCCAGCTCTGTCCACTTTCCTCACTATCCATTACTCCCTATTACCACCGACAATTACCCATAACTCCCCATCATTGTCCGCTCCTGCCCTTCACTCTGCATCACACCCCACTGTGCCTCATCACTTATTCCTTTCCTTCATACCTCATTAATCCCCATTTCTCTTTTATTCCCCATCTTTTCCATATTCTTGCTTAACATTTTACAGTGTCATTCACTATTAAATCCCATCACTCCCCTTTACTCCCAGATACTCTCCATCCTTCCCCATCCAGCCCGTTTGCTCCCTGTTAAATCCCATCACTCCCCTTTACTCCCAGATACTCTCCATCCTTCCCCATCCAGCCCGTTTGCTCCCTGTTAAATCCCATCACTCCCCTTTACTCCCAGATACTCTCCATCCTTCCCCATCCAGTCCGTTTGCTCCCTGTTAAATCCCACCATTCCCTGCTTTCCCCACACTGTACTGTACTGCGATAGCAGCAGAAGGCCTGCATTACCATGCGCTGCTGTGCCCCCAGCCTGGCCCACAGTCCCATGGCACCCCTCTCGCTCCGTTTAGCGAGCGTAATGAGAGCGTGTCGCAGAAAGGACCCCCACAGAAGAGCACCATTTCACCCCTCCCTTTGTACGGCCCAGACGGGCGGCGGCATAATGAAGGCATTAATGCATGATGGGAGCCGTCCGTGATCAGAGTGAACAGATCACAAACTAACAAGGAACTCTGTGAGGCGTCAGAGCGGCGCTTTGATCAGGTGAACAACCTGGACAGTGCTGTCAGTTTGAGTTCTCGCCCGACCGGCTCTGATTTGAAAGTCAAATCGGGGAAGAACATCTCAGCGGGAGCTCCTGCCTGACTGGGGGGGATAAAAAAAAGGAGAAAAATCGGGCCATGACAGAGAGCACTTGAAAACCCAAACAGACACGAGAGCGGGAAGTTTGTGTTGTTAGTTGGGGGGGGGGGGGGGGGGGGGTTTTTTTA